TCATACAAAATGATTTGACGTCACAAATGGTTAAAAGGGATGTTTTGAATGTGGAGACAATCGATGATGTATTGCAGGATCGATATCAAGCTTTTGCAAATTATGACACTTATGAGCTTTTAAAATCGTTACAACATGATAAAAATATTGAGCCTACATATAAAGCAAAATTTATAAAAATGTTTAATAAATTGCATCAATTCGATATGCCTTCATTTTTAAGCTTAATGGAAAAGCTCACTAGTGATGACAAGTTTTACAATATTTTAACCAAATTTGTTTACTTATCAGAAAATTTGTATAATGAACCAATAAAAGCATTATATTCACGATTATTAGCCTACCATATGAGCGAAGTCGGCGATATTTCCTACCCTATTACCAAACTATGTTATAGTAATCGATTTCAGCATGGTGATGTAGCCACTAAAATGTACAATTATTATGTTTTTTATTTTAATATAAAATTTAATTATTTTAATAATCTTTTTCTAGAATACAGCGCTTATTCGAGACGTTAATCTTTGAACACTGGAAACAACTGACTTCTGAATCTAGTTTTCATTTATTTGCAAACATTGTTGACAACAGTCATGTTTTTGGTGACCGACATCTCTCTGATTACTACTTACAACCAGACGGACCGTACAAACCCTTACATAACGATATATTTGTATCAAGTTATGTGTTCATTGCTTATGGTTCTCTCATTTCATTTATTATATTTATTTTTGAATTAATTATCAAGGCGTATTTTAAAGCAAGTTAATATGTGTAACATTAATTTAATCTATATATAACATAAGACCCACTAGGGTACAATTAGAATTATATAAAATTTGTGATGATCAATATAATTAATATCACAATTTAATATATTATTTAATTGTCTTAAAACTTTTAACACTAAATAATAACACGTTAAAATGTGTAGTTTTAACAAAAATTTTCAAATACAATAAGAAATCAATAATTAGTAAAATTTTAATTTTAAATATTTCAAAGATTATGTAAGCAAATATAACTACTCTATAAAAATGTTTAAACATGGTAACAAAACGTGGTATTATTTGGTTGGCGCAAAGCCAACCCTATTATTACCGAAATCAAACTCAGTATAATAGGGACCGATAAACACGTCGCCCAAAATCCAGAGGGGGCCAGAGGCGTCCCCTCCGGGCGAGAAACCCGACATACACTGCGGGTTCCCGTTTTGATCGCTCTGAACCAACACATACTGACCGCCGGTCAACGGGAACTGCTTTCCGCCCAAAATGAACGTCACGGTAGGCATCGATCCAACGCTACCGCAGTCTACCATATAATCACCTGAACCGTCATCTTCGGCGCCGATGGCCTGATTAATGGCCGCGATATCGTTGTCCGGACCCACGATCAGCGATGTGCCGGTGTCCGCGATGGCCTGACAGCCGCCCGAACAAAACCCGGTACCGTCGGACACGCTGCTTGCGTTCATGGTGAATTGCCAGTAACCCTGTTGGGTCACCGGTAGGTACGTAAACGGGCCGGTATAGTGGGCCGGGTCTGAGCCGCCAAATATAATCTCTCCGCCGGGCGATTGAGTGTCGTCTCGGTTCAAGTAGAAGGAGAAGACCGGCGCCGACACCACTCCCTGTGCTATCATATTGTTGAACACAGGCTTCACGTTGTCGGTGGATATCTGCGGGTAACCCATGCCTAGTATGCCGTCAAACTCGGCGTAAACAAACGTGGTACCAGGTTCGCTGGTGGTCTCGGCAAATGTCTGGCCCTTAACCAAACCCCCGCCGATGCCCAGCGTATCGGTGCTGAGAAAGCCAGTGGTACTGCCGGTGCCGTATTGTATGGCAAATGATTGTCCGTTTGGTTTATAAGTGGACGATCGCGACGAGTAGTACGCGGTATGTATTGTACAGGCGTATGATCGACACCGATTGGATGGCACCCATAGGTTAGAGCTGCCCGTATCAAACAGTACCTGTTATGGTGTTCGTAATAAACATTATTGTATTAATTAAATATGTTCATTCAACATTAAATAATTAGTAACATCGCAAATGTCATTATTATTTAATTTAGTTTAAAATACATTGGAATTTCATTGCAATATAATATCATAACAATTATATTTTATTTTATAATCCACTTTTGTGAAAATCAGTCCTTTCGCCAAATATGTTAGTAGAGGTGCAACGGTATAAGCACGAAGGTTTCTGATTGGCTGAGAAGAGAATAGAGAACCAATCGTAGAACGGTATTGTAATGTGGCGGTATATTCATAATGTCAATGCATACTGTGTCTATTACTACAGTGTCTATTACTACAGTGTCTATTACTACAGTGTCTATTACTACAGTGTCTATTACTACAGTGTCTATTACTACAGTGTCTATTACTACAGT